GGGGGGGCAGGATTCTGCTCTTCCCAAAGAATGGCAGCACATCCCTGTGGTTTTGGGGGGGCAGCTTCTCCCAAAAGCAAATGCTGGCACCTGTGGCACTCTGGGACCGGGGGGGGATGGCATCACCATGGAAAACACCTGGAGGGGTCATAGCAAATTCTTCCAATCATCCCTGCAAAGCAGGAATCAGCCCTGGGTCTGTCTGTCCCATCCTGGGCACTTTGGATCTGCCCTCCCTCCCAGCAAAACAAAACCATATTACACCAAAACCGAATTACAATTCAGAACAGCAAAGGAACTGCAAATTTAATTCACTGTACTAATGCCAGTGCATAGCCTTCCACCTCTATGAGGAAAACAATAATGTTCTCCTAAATGTCCATATAAGATTTATGTACTAAATATATATATATATATATATAAATTTTTAAAGGGAAGCATCATCTAAGACATTTATAGAAGATCCTGCAGTAGCAAATACACAAATTAATTACTAGGTGAAACTGGAAATTGAGAGAGGAAAAGTAAATCACCACAAACCAAATCTGAGGTGTCCTGAAAACGTCCGCAGGTACCTCCAACCCCCGAAAGAGTTCAAAGAGCCTCTCCCCTCATCACTTACGGCTCAGCTGAAGGACCCGGGGAAAGGCTTTATATCCTCCACGGCTTCGCACACTCGTGGCCGCTCTCGTCCCAGCCACCTGGTGCTGTCCGCGCCGGAGCCGGGGAGGATGGAAATGCCATCGCGTCCGAGGCAGGGCTGCTATTCAAAGGCAGGGGGAGTGGTCAGCCCCGCACCCAGGCGCTCGGAGGCCGCCGGCCAGGAACGAGCCACCTCTGGCCGATGGCACGGAAACAAAACCTGGGGAAACAAAACCTTCTGCTGGGAGCGGGGCTGGGCGCAGCGCCCTGCCGGCCCCGCGTGGGGCGGCCCGTGGGTGCCGCGCCGTGCCGTGCCGTGCCGTGCCGTGCCGTGCCGTGCCGTGCCGTGCCGTGCCGTGCCGTGCCGTGCCGCGCCGTGCCGTGCCCTGTGCATCCCCGCGGCTCCAGCCTGCCCGCCGAGTCCCGCGAGCGGAGCTTGTCCTGCCCAGCGAGCGATCAGGGCTCGCAGGGCACGGCCAGGTGCGCTGCCAGCGCTGACCCCAAACCCAGCCCGGCAGCTGCCCCTGCCCCAGGGCAGAATTCCCTTCCCCAAAGGGCCTGGCCCCGCTCTGCGCCCGCTCCCGCGGCCCCAGGGCTCTGCTCTGCCTGCTGCCTTACCCCAGCCCGGGAAGGATCCCCCCGCTGCAAACCCTGCGGGCTCTGGGCACGCACCTCTGCAGCCCAGGAGCCCCGGGAGCCGCTGCTCGCTTTGGAGCCCTGGAGGCTGAGGGAGCCTCGCTCCGTGGGGAGCTGCAGGGGGAATTCGCTCGCTGGCAGCGCTGGGAGCCGCCGGCTCAGCTCTGCCAGGGGCGGATGCCCCAGCCCGCATCCCTGCAAAGCCCAGGCCAGGGCGGTGCCCAGGGGCCTCTCCACACAGGAGAAGGGCAGGAGGGCACATTCCCGCTGGCCAGGTGCGGGCAGAGGGGCAGAAACACGGCGTGCAGTGATCTCACTCCTGCAACGCCCCTGGGGATTCTCCAGAGGCTCTGGAGCAGCAGGATCTGGGGTGGCCTTTGCCGAACACCCCTGTCCTCCTCTTGGCAGCCTGGCCAGGGAGCTCAAACGCCGGTGGCACCCCAAATCCCGGGCGCAGGAGATGTGCCCATCCCTCTCCCTGTCTCGCTCTCCAGAGCAGAGCCGCCTTTTCCTCCAGGAGAGGGCTCCAGGCTGGAGATCCTGGCCGGCTCCAGCCCGGATCCCATCCCGCTGTGTCCATGAGCAGCCCTGGAGCAGCCCCTGCCAGGGGCAAAGCCCAGGCCCCAAGGGCTCCATGTGTGCTGCTCCAGGACAAACTGGGGCGCTGGGAGCAGCTGCTGGCATTTCCCTGGAGATCCTAAGGGCGAACTGGAGCAGCACAGCGGCAAAGAGCCCCCAGCCCCAGCGGGCTCAGCTCTCACTGCCTCGCTGCACGGACACCGTGAGGCTCTGCTTGTACAGCATCCGTGATTTCCAGGGAATTTAGCAGCACTCTCATGAAAAATCAAAGCAGCCTGTACATCTGAGAGCTGTCACTGCTGAAGGGTTGGTGTGTGGGGAGAGGAATAACTCCTGCAGACTCCTTCCCCAGCACAACCCTGGGTGTTTTGAGTACTCTCAGCGCAGTGGACATTTGCAAAGTACAAACCAAAGCTGTGTTTGCTCCTACGTGGATCATTTCTGCCTGCACAGGGCTCCTGTAGCATCTCCTGCTGCCAAATGTTCCCCAGAGAAATCAGATGTTCTGAACAAGTGTTCACAGGATAAAAGTCCCTCCTGTCCCCCTCTCCCAGACCAGGAGGTTGCTAAAATGAACAGAATTACAAATACAAAAAAAAACCCCATTATTTATGCACATAAAACTATTCCCAGATCCTTCAGGAGCTGCCAAATGATGAATGAATCTCTCCTTTAGCCCTGAATTTAGAAAGACACAGCTCCAGGTGGCCCAAATCCGTTACCTGCTGGACTCGCCAGGCACGGCCCCCTCTTGTAGCTGTTTTAACACAGGAAATGATTTACAGGGTTCCACCTCCCCAGGAAGGTTTCCAGCCTCCTGGGCTTTGCTACAAAGGCTCTGTCACATCTGAGCTCCAAAGGAGTGGAATGTGTTCAGCAATCAATTTTTAGCTGGGCAACTCTTCCTGGGATAACCCTGCTGGCAGCTGCGAGCAAGATGTCCTTGCCTGGATGCTCTGCTCAGGAGGGTGCTGGGGTGCAGAATCCAGACATTAACAGCTCTGTGGAGTGGCTGTGCAGCCAGCTGCGAGGCTGGGACATGGAATCAGAGTCATGGACTGCTTTGGGTGGGAAGGGACTGTGAAGATCACCAAGTTCCACGTGGTTGCCTGGTTTCAGGGTCACTGCTGTCACATCAGTCACCCAAACCAGTTGCTTGAGCTCACAACAAAAAGTAGGGTTAAATTTCGGGCAGCTCATGGAATTGATCATAAAGTCATTGCACTTTCCATGGCAGCTGCTTTGGGTTTGCTCCGTGCTCATAAAAAATAAAGCGATCCCTTAATGTTTCCCTGCAGCAGTTATTGATGGTTTCACCAAATTGGAGATGTCTTGGGGATGTTTCACAGGTTCTGCACTCGTAGGCTGCTTAAATTTGGGGGCACTCAGGCTCCTGTTGAAAGGTGCAGCTCACTGGTGTCAGCAGAAACAGCCCCTTTCCCAACGACCTGAGAAATCCTCATCAGCACTTGGGGTGGCAGCTCAGCAGCAGCACTGGAGCGTGGCTGCACCTGGAGATGCTCCTGCTTTGTCTGCTGGAGCTGGGCAGGGAGCATGGGTCATCTGGGCAAAATTCAGCCCAGTCCTGAGTGCCACCCACTGCCACCTGGCCCAGCTCCACTCCCTTGCAGCCCCCAGGTTCCTCTGCAGGGAGAGATCCCTGTGCTCCTGCCTGAGGATCATAAACCACTAAAGGGGAGGAGCTTCCAGAGCCCTTCATGGATCACCATTTCCATCTTACTCTGGGAAAACAGAGAAGGAACCAACAAAATGGTCCTGAGCACCTGAATCTCTGCTTTTAGTGTTGCCTCAGGGCAAAGAGTGAAATGAGGATTCCTGAGCTGGAGGAACCTGCGCAGTGTTTGCCCTGGGAGAAGGTGCCACAGCCGGATCAGGAGCTGCCTGGAAGTCCATGGCACGTTTGCCCAGGGAGATGTTCCCTCTGCCCCTGCTCAGAACCCGGGTGTGACTCACAGCCTGTGCCCAGATGTTCAGAGGTCCCAGAGCTGGGCACAGCTGGGACCCAGCTGCTGACACCCTCTGCAGCTGCCTGGCCTCAAAAGCCAGCAGGAACAGCACCAGAGCTCATCCCTCCGGACCAACCCCGGTGAATTCCCTCCTCTATGGAGCCCAAGGATGCTGAATAGCTGAGCTAAGGGGAAATTTCTGCCCTCACAAGCAGGAGAAGGAGCTTTTTCTACTCTTGGATCAGACAGGAGAAGGAGCTTTTTTCTACTCTTGGATCACACAGGAGCTCAGACCTTGGATGTCCATTACCTTGGATGTGCAGGTGCAGGATATGCACTGAAACAGAAAAATGTGGGGTGCAGAGGAATATCCTGAATGCTTAAACTGCCCCAAAAGTCACTTTTATGATGCTCTTTTAGGCTGGGAGCTGCTGCATGTGGATCTCCTCCACATCAACCACAATAATTTTAATGAACTGCCTCATCCTTTGTTTATCCCACTTTTCTAAGGGAGATCAGATCTCTGTAAAAACAGGCTTTAAACAGGGAATATATGAAGGTGTCAGGACTGGGTGAGAAATGACAAGGGAAAAAATTTCTTTTTCATCTCTATCCACATGGATAAAAACACATGGATGTGTGGGGAGGTGAGAAAACCCAAAATCCCACAACATTTTCTTCCCTGTGAGAGTGGCAGGCCCTGGCACAGGGTGCCCAGAGCAGCTGTGGCTGCCCCTGGATCCCTGGCAGTGCCCAAGGCCAGGCTGGACAGGGCTGGGAGCAGCCTGGGACAGTGGGAGGTGTCCCTGCCATGGCAGGGGTGGTACTGGATGGGCTTTAAGCCCTTCCCACCCAACCCATTCTGGCATTCAGAGATTCGGTCACGTTTTCACTCTGGAAGAGGAAGTGAGAAGTTTCCACTCTGCTCTAACTCTGCTGTTAAGCAACATCTCTGGGGAAGTTCCAACCAGAACATCTCCAGCCTGAGCCCTTGAGATGCAAACTTGTGGATTTTGCACAGCTGGCACAAAACCTGATCCCTTTTCTGCAGGCCAATGTGAACATTTTCATTGCAAACTCCTCGTGCAGGTGCCTGCCCACTCACACCATTAATAAAAGTCCTGAAAGCTGCAAGAACAAGGTAAATTAATTCTCATTTCTGTCAACATTAACTGGGAAATCAGTCCTTACTCACAAGTTCTCCCATTGCAAGAAGAATTTGGCCTCTTGGTTGGAAGAAGGATCTTTGATTAGTCTGATACACTCACACAAAAAACCAGCGAGGATTTCATCACACGCACCCTCTTCAAACTGTAAATGAAAATCCTCATCCAGAATCATTTAATTGAGGACTATAAAGCCAGATTTCAGAAGTGCTCTTTTCCCAGGCTGGTACATAAATAGAGATCAGATTTATAAAAATGCTATCAGCCAACAATTCCTGCTCGAACACATCTGGCCAGATTTCAAAACCAATTCAGCAGCCAGTTAATCACTTGCTCTTTATTACTTAACTTACTATTAGCATTGGGGGTAAAAAAAAAAAAAAAAAAAGAGATATTTTTATTTTCTTTTATCTGCTAAAATATTCCCTGCATCTTGCCGGGGTGGAATTCAAAGCCTTGATAAAAATCATGACATTTTTAAAAAGTCAACTGCTTCTCAAACCTCTGTAAAAATGCAGGGGGTGAATTGAGATCACTTCACTGCTTCTCTTTGCAGCTTCTTGTTCAAAAAATTGAGATTAGCGCTGCACTGAGAATGTCCCACAAAACCCACCCAGAAAATAATCAGCAGCTTAGGAGGGTTGGGCTGGGATGGGAATGAATAGGAGGCTGGAATTCTCCT